AAAAATGTTTTTATAAAAATTGTTTATAATTTATGTTGTGTGTATCATATTTTTTATCAAACACAGTTGTTACTATCGAGTAACAGTTTGGATTGAAAAACTAAATTTTGATTTTTAACTTTCTAATAGTTGGGAACATATGTATTTTAGTTCCTATATATCACTTATAAAATTTCACTAGTTTAGTTTAAAATTAAGAAGTTACACAAGGCATTTGAATTATAGTAATATTGTTTTCTTATGATAACTGGGTTATTCTATTTATGATCTATCTTATCTTAATAAGTTTGTGATACGGTAATATTTCATTGTCACTGCAATAAATGAACTTGCTTTTGCATTTGATATCGCTGTGTATTCGTTTAGAGTCGTATTTAGTTAATTTTATGCGGAACGCGTGTTATTTATTTGTTAAAGATGGCTGGTGTATTGACGAAAAATTGTTCACGTGTACATTGTAATGTTGCAGAATTTATATGAGTTTTTTTATATATTTAAATCTTATCAATTAGATGTGTGTGCAGTAGGTGTAAAGTATTTTAATAATTTTGTATATGATAACCTCCACTTGTCAACCGGTCCGATATCTGTCATCATCAGCTGACCGTACACTGTGCACCTGTACCAATATTGTAATGTCCCCTCAATGAACGTGTTCAAAGTAGGCACCACCACCACCCGGCGTCACGATCACCGGCCACTACACAAATGCCGCTACGACAGATTTTTTTTCTCACCTATACCGTCTAGGCGACAACTCGTGTTTTCTTTATATAATTTTATTTTGAAAACCACGTTTTTTTTTGTATTTTTTTTGTCCTCCGTTTTTTTTATTAAAATAAAACGTCGAGTGGATCTACTGTCGACTTGTATCAACCCGGCTGTTCATATTTTTTTTGTCCTCCGTTTTTTTTATTTAAACAAAACGTCAAGATGATGATGCTAATGATGATAACGATGTGAGACACAACTATGGCCGGTGGTGGGCCGGCACTCCTCAAAATCAAAAACAACAATAAGTACAACGTCAATAAACCCCCCTTTTACCCCCTTTTTAATTTGTGTATCAAGCACATCCTTTTTTTTTTCTTTCTTCTTTTATATGAATATATTTATATCTAAAATAGTAATTATAAATTTTTTAATTAAATAATTAAAAAAATGTTGTTATATTATACATGGCCTCTTTTTTTCTCTCTATACTTTTCCCTCATTTTTATTAATATTTGTTTTTTCTGTTTTTATAAAAAACCTAGTAGCTCCGTTAGCAAGTACTATCTTATTTGGCGCGGCTACTAGGTCACTGTCCAGTGTTCCCCCTGGGCAGTGGGTAATTAGTAGGCCCTCTGTTTGGCTGAAACCTTACAATATGTACTAAAATCATCACATTTACATGCCGCAATGTAAAAAAGACTATTTCTTGCTTGAATTTGGAGTTTTTCCACTTTATTTTTATACGTGACACATTATCCCCTTTCCTTTACTGATTTTAGTATATTTCGATACTTGTTATGGTACGTTTTAATTAATTGTAATACTAACGTGTATGATACTATTAGTATTGATGTTTTGGGCCAAATATTTTCTATGTGAGATGCTACAATTTCAGCTATAGAGCTTACACTTGGCTCTTTTGAATCGGGTTTAAGTTGATGGTTTACATACAAATAATATTGCATAACGTCTTTATTTAAACATTTTTATTGTATGTTGAATATTTCGTCTGCAATATTTAAATAAACTAATTAAAACGATTTCAACGGTTTTAATGACTAAGTGAGGACTAAGTTAATGATTTATGAGGTGCGTACAATGAACCAACAAGTCTGAGTAAATGGGCATTATGTCCACCTCCATAATAACTAAAATTAAAAACTAAAGTATTATAGATACGACCTTTTTCTAATAACATTTTTTAAAGTAAAAATTTAGTTTTACAAGTTTAGTTCGATAATTTTACCTGTGAATAGTATAGATTAAATATCAGTGACAAAAACAAAAAAATTACCCTCATAGTCAAATTTTCAACCCTCTTGCGGAACCTGAAATATTAAAAAAAATTTTTTTTCTATAATCAGGAGACTAAACTGCAACTTTTTTTTCTATTAGAATTTAATTATCAACATTTTCAATATTTCGTTCCACCCTACTGACCATCTCTAAATAATTTCATAGCTATAGTCACTTTTCCGCCGTCTGTTTTCAGCAGCTATTACGTGCCTGCATCTACACTCTGACTCGTGACACTGAGATGTTTGACACCATTACAACAAGATCTCATACAGTCCACTCATCACTATCAACTTCATATTTTCAGCTGAGTTTTATATTATTTTTTAATATTATTTATTATTTGTTTTAATTGAGTTTAACTATTTCGTTTAATGCCGCTTCTCCGGCCAAAAATAAAACAGTATTCTAGTGCGGTGCACAAATAGCCGTCATACGGTCTACCTGCCTCGCACAAAATACATAGGTATCAGGAAGATTTAAAAAAATTAATTACAACCGAATTGCTTAATCCGTGTCTTCAGTGTAAAGAGTAGAGGGAACTCGTGTTATATCAAATACGTGTCCTCAATTTCTGAATCATAAATATTATCCTCATCGGTAAAATGAGAATAAAAATAAGAAAAATACATTGTCCAATGTATAATTATAGTGAAGTAAAATTAGGAGTATAAGTATAATGATAATTATAATTATACTCTTATAATAATTATAATAATAATTAAATTTATAAAATATAATCCTGCTACATAAAAATCAATCACTCAGTATATCATTAATATGAGCACTATCTTAACTTGGATTTAGTGGTCTCAGATCATAAATTGAATTATGAGGCTCTAGTAAGACATTTTTTTCACTATCCTCGAAAATTGTGGTGTTCATTTTTTTTGTTCCCTTTTATAATTAGAAGTAATTGAATATACAAGTGTTGGGTAGAGTGTGGCAATAGATGATACCTGTCCTCGCGCACGTGTATGACCGGTTCGAACGCGTTCGCGCTACGGTCGTCCGTCGTCCCTTCCTCAGCGAGCGTCATAGTTCCCTTTTTGTACGTACGGTACACACGTTCACATCTCTAGTAATCGACAGCCGTGCAATTACTAATTCACATTCACTTATAGTTTTTTTTATTTTCGTTCATTATTAGTTTACTTTCATTATAAGTCACTTTGCCACTATCTCCGATCTCATCAAGCCGTCTTCAGAAAAGTCGTTAATTTATTTTCATTCTGTCATATCTATCATATTATAAGATTAACATTATTTATTATGTAAGTTATCCTCCCACTTCTCTTTATATTTTTTAAAATTTTATTTGCAGAACTCTAATGTATATAGTCGTATTTGTATATGCATATAATCAGGTGTACCTATTTTTCTAATCTCCTCTCATTTTCTTTATTTTTGTTTTTATACAAATAAACAACACCGCCCACAGTAACAGGCAATCCCCCTTTAATATTAAGGAGCTGTTTGTCACAAATATATAATTTTATATATTTCATGTTATTGTGTTCTAATATATATTCATAATTAAAAATTGTTAAATAGTTTTAAAAATTTAAATAATAAGATATAAATGAATACCTTTTATTTCCATTATAATTCTCTCATATATTAGTTAGTTAACTATTTTTTCATGTTGAATGTAATAAGACATCACATTTGATTGACCAATGGAGACGTGCTTTGCAGTCTTACGGTTTGGTATAAAAGGCCTACATCCCTATTGACCGATGTCAATTGTCCGTTTGAGCTTTATTGCAATGATAACTATGTTAGTATATTCTATAGTGTTAAATACAATTAATCTCCTGGCCCAATAGACCTAATCAATCCAACGGTGCCAGAGTTAGTTATTCTCCCTAATGCCTATTCTATTTAATTATCCTTTATATTATTTATGTTTTGTGATTTTTTTTTTAATCATGGCATGATATATGATTTATTAAAGAATTTGTAATTTTGTTTTTAATTATTTTAAACAATTCTACAAATGTATTTGACATTATCTCATTTTACTTAATAATAATTGTTTTATTTTAATTTAAATTTGTTATTATTTAACTAAATTGAATTCTCACATAAATACATCATCGCCCATACTACTAGTTCACCAGTTTTTTATTCGTTTTCCCTTAGAACAATTTTAAAATATCAGTTGTGTCATTAATTTAATCACTATGCTCTGGTCTGGTAGAATCTAGGCTACTGGTGTATTTATTCCAAATTTGTTGTATTTACTTTTTTAAGCATTACCTAAATTAATCTAATATATATCGATTCGAACCGTTCAAAATCATCTAACTCTACGCTTAGAATAACCTGGCGAATTGTACTTTTTTTCTATTTAATTAATAATTATTTAAATAAGTATATTAATTAATGAGCTTTTTACAAATTGGTCATATTATGTCAAGTAGTATATCTAGTAAATAGTTTTTATAGTAAATACTTCTTTTTTGTGAAGGCAATCAAATAAAAACGATCTGCATACAAAGCTCCAGAGATGGTATTGTGTTCCATGTCGACGACGAAGTCACAGCTTTGTCGCCGATATAGATCATTGTCAGCGTGTCCTGAGACGTTACTATTTTGATTTAAATAAACAAATCTTAAAGTTATTTGAATGTGTTATTGATATTATTTTTATAGAATTCAAACCAAGTAATATACTTTACATTGAGCCGAATTTAGAGAGGAGGATACTGGGTGCAATTATCCCGGGTGGTACTAAAATTTGAACAAAAAATAAATTTAGAAAACTAAGTAGAAAAATGTTGATTAACAAAATAAAAAAGACCATTTGACAGAATTAAATGCCCGGGGTAATATAATTCCCAAATGAATAAATAATAAATTAGCACGCTAAAAATATTTTGAAAATTATGTTTATAATAGTACTAATTGTACTAGTATTAAGTGTATCCCCTATCCACATTGGTGTATATAAGATTTTATAATTCATATATAATACATTTAATTAGAAGACATAATAATAATAAGCAGTGATGATGAATTAGAAGTTCCTCCGTTAGAAAATCGTAGAACGCCAGTAAAAATCAACTCTTTTAAACAAGGTAATTTCATCCTAAAGCTAAATCTATAACTAATTATAATTGTTATTTAGTTGTACCTATTTTCTTGTGGTTAAAAATACTTCCACAGCCCCTTTGCCAGTCGTAAAAGGCGACTAATGAGGTTGCGTCAGGTCGACAACTGGCGTAAAATTTTTGTCAAAAAGTATGAGTAGTCCTGCTTTAGAGGTGACTTTATGGTTGGTAATGTATTAACACTTTGGTAATAACACTTAGGTGGGTAAACCGAATCAAGACAATTCGGTATGAGGTGCGCACAATGGACCAACAGGTCTGAGTGCATGGGCATTATGTCCACCTCGATAATAACTAAAACTAAAACTAAAACTATGAGGAGTCCCAAACAAAACTTAGGCGAATTGTCCCATCTCAGATGTACACGGGACAACAGAAGAGAGACTATAAAGTAGTTAAAAACGGAGAAGGCCTAAGGAACAAAGTGTTTGATACCAACCGGACAACTTGGGCGGTTGCTGTTTTACTAGTCATGTGAACAGGTCTACCCAACATTTGTAGCATCAACGGTGTAGGGACATTGCCACTTAAATTTAGGCTGGACTCGTGTATAAAGGAGAAATATAGATACAAAGTAAGAATATGTACTTGGAATGATTGTATATTAACTGGTATAAGTAGACAACAGAAAATTTAACATTTATTGCGTGCAGAAAACTAAGTGGAAAGGAAAAAAATCGAAAAAAATAGGTGACATTTATAAAATAATATACTCAGGTAAGTTTAGTACAAAGAGTGATGTAGGGATAATAATGGACGAGGAGATGAAAAGCAAATTAGCTGAAGTAGCTAGGGAAAGTGACAGGATTACAGTCGTAAAATTCATATTCAAGGAAAAAGTGCTAAATATAATAAGTACATATGCAACATGAGTGGAATGTGATAAAATAGACAAGGAAGTATTTTGGAGAGAAATGGATGAGGTGATGCAAGGAGTACCTGGAAATTAGGATGCGGTGATAGGTGGAGATATGAATGGACATGTAGGTGATGAGAGGAGAGGATATGAGAGAGTACATGGAGGCCCTCCAACCCAACCCAACCCTCCATTGGAGGGTATAGTTTTAATGGGAGGAATGAGGCTGGAGAAAGAATCATGGATTTTGCGGTATTGTGTGATCTTGCTGTGATTAATACTTATTTTAGAAAGAGGGGAGAACATTAAAAAACTTATAAAAGTGGTAGTATTAGATCACAGATTGATTATTTTATGTGGAAGAGAGAGAGCGTAAAGCGAATGAAAGTTTGTAAAGTTATAACAGGCGAGAATTTAACTACACAACATAGTCTAATGATAATGAAGTTGTGATATACTAGAAAGGGAATATGCAAAAACAGAAGGAACACGGGAGAAAAATCGAAGATCCGGTGTTGGAAACTGAAAGAGGAAAATGAAAAATAGTTTGTAAAGACGATAAAAGAGAAAAAGATGTGGAATGTCGAGGGAGACATAAATAATGTGTGGAATAGATTCATAGTTATGTCTATGTGTTGTACTAACTAGTCACTCAGCCATTTTCCTTCCTTTCCTAGGATGAGTACGGATGGGGATATCCGGTTTGCTTGTTAAAGTGATTCCGTAACACGAACTATAGTTTTAAATTTCAAGAAGTATGAATTGCTCGGTTAATAATGCATCGTGTTTTGTTAAATAAATTAATTTTAATATAGGGTTTGCCTATTAAGAAAATTGATTTTTATTTTTAAAACACTTTTTCTTATCCTAAATGGAGAAGGTGTGTTTAAATTTTTTGTTTGATGGAAGAGAGAAACATATCGTTATTTTGTCACGCTTGTCCTCTGCCACCATAAAACTCGACTTCAGATCGTGTCATTTATTTTTTTGCTGACGTAAATATTATAAAGAATGGCAGTATGCGTTGGCGGTTGCGTTGTTGATGTCTGTATTAAATTATTGTCTGGTTATCCTTGTCGACAAGGGAGTGCGGCATAATGTTTGTCGTTATGATTGCCGAACAAGTCTGATGTAGGGCAATTTTGGTCACCTAGTTGTAGTTCCCACCTAGTTAATTTACTGTTATTACCGTTCGATTTATGTAAATAAGTTAACGCGGCTTATATAATTTTGTTTAATCCCTACGTTTTTTCCCACAGTTGGAGAATGCGATTAATTATACTATTTTTACCAAACCTTGTGCATCAATTCCTACAATTAAGTAATTCAATTAATTATTCATTACTGATAATGGTCACTATAACTATGTTCAAGCATCCTTGAATATACATACATTTACAATGTTTATTAAATAAAACACAAAAACAACACGAGACAACAAATACGTGGTGAAATCAATCACCGAACGTTCCAATTTTCCAACTTCTAATGTACTCCTTTGTTCCTTCAAGCCATATTATTTTTGTATTCCATGAGATATTATGAACTCATTGTACATTTTAGACTGATTGTCTAATAAGTAATAAAAAGAAAAGCAGAAGTGGGAAGGTGATGATGGGAAAGGAGTTTAAGTTATATGAATTGGTTTAGATTCATATCATCTTCATCCTACCTTTTACCCACTCGATACTATTTCTTAATATTACATAAATATCGTGCATATCTTCTGACTACACTTACCTTGATATCCAGATGGACTCGTTATTAGTTGATGAATTATATTATACCTTGTCGACGTCAATGTATTAAATTAATTTAAATAAATAAAAATACGGATATAAGGGGCGACATACTGAATTTATTTCTATGGTTTGAATTAATTATTATAACAAATATGAAAGTTTATAATTAAGGTTGACAAAAGTAATATGGATTTTACATTATTTATTAAAATCACTATCGTAAAAAATGCTTCGATGCAAATCTGTAGATAATGTTAAATTTTCGTAAGGATTTGTTGGATTATTTTAAAAACAGCGTCAAAAATTCTTAATTATATCCTGATTACTAGTTTTATGATGTACAGAGTGTTGGGCGGTTGATAAGAAAGTAGAGCAGTGAATGAGTGTAGCAGAGATGAGAATGTTTAGATGAATGAGTGGAGTGACTAGAAAAGATAGGATAAGGAAAGAGCATATAAGAGGGAGTATAGGTGTATTTGTCAAACGTGGATAAGATGAGAAGAGAAGAATCAGAAGCCGTAAGAACAGTTTTAGAAATGATTGTTGAAGAAAGAGGTAAAGAAAGACTAAAAAAGAGATGGAGAGATGTTATTAAATGCGATATGAGGACAGCTGAGAGCGTAGGGGATGTGGAAGATCGTGTCAATTGGAAGTTTAGGATAAGGGTGGCTGACCCCAAGTAGTTGGGAATAAGGCGAGTAAGAAGAAGAAGACTAGTTTTATGATATACAAGATAATTCACTTATCATGAACAACTTAACTAATCGAAAAATAAAAATATCATTAATAATTTTTATATTTGTTTCAATTATTTCAATATTTCTCTCAGTTTTTCAATTACAAAATTTTTTTTTGTTCGTTCTTTATACCTTATAAGGGTGTCAATTTTAATTTCTCAAATAGTAATACCAATTATTAACTAGCGTATTTAATAAATAATGATCTAATTAAAAAAATTACTGGTCAATAACAACTGTACTTTGACCAGTATTTCAGATGTTATTGACATATTTATTTCTAGAGAAATGCCAAATGTATTTATAAAAAGATTACTATAATTCATACGAAAAAAAGTGATTTTTTATACAAATTTTACATTTTTTTTTTTACTTTATGGGCTGTAGGTAATCAGAAAGATGATAATGAAATGTGTGTCGATTGCAATTCTGTAGCTGGTACATTTGATCTAACATCTAAAGAACGAACGTATATTTGCAATCATAAAGTTTGTTTGGGGTGTTATAATAAGAACAACAAACAATGTACAATAAAATGTCCAGGGTGTAAAATAAATTTAGAGCAAGATGAATATCATTAGATGTAATCATATAAAATAATAATAATTATATTTATAAAATATAATATATAATATATAATATCTTTATAAAATGATGTTTTTTATTAACAAAAATTCTCAAAAAAATTTAAATATATAATCAATTTATCTAAAATTCAATCACTTAGTATATCATAAATATGAGCATTTCAGTAGTTTAGGATTTAGTGGTGTCATAATACACTCGACACTATCACAATATGATATAACAGAGGACTGCTCTGTTTGTATCCACAATAATGGTCGTTCATTTAAAAATTATTAACACTTTTATTTATAAATTATATTCATAAGCTTAGAATAACATGTTTGTTTTTACTTTGAGAAAATTCACAAATTATACTTGTCAGCCCTTTTTAACTAACTATAATAATATTATATGAAGTGTCGAAATGATTTGTGTATTATTCGCATGTATTTATGTATTTAATGTATTAATTCATATATTTTATGATGACTTGTCAATAAAATAGCAACATTGCGAGAATGACACAATGATTATTGTGCGGGGATAAAAAAAAATACTATAAAAGGGCTGAGTGCTGAAGGCTTGAGGAGAGTCTGTCTCTAAATATTCATTGAGCTGGTCGAATCGTGCTTTCGACATTGATACGCCAAGTTCGTAATCATCATTGTGAAATTCTTAATTGTTAATTTATGAACTAAACATTTGAGTTCGTGTTATTTTATTATAACCTGATATTGTCAAAAGTTATTATTAAAACAAGAAAAATCTTCAGGTAAGACTTTAAATCATTAAGAGTCAATACTTATATTATCTTATAATTCAATTATTTAGAATTAATAATCTGAGTATAGAACGATAAAGCAATAGATCAAATAATTATATTAATCTTTAAACTTCAATTAATTATTATAACTAGTTCGGACCTTATACATAACCACATTACAGGGTATTCGTGAGATGGCCACCGCCTCTTCGTTGCCTCAGTGTATTATTACAGGTACTTACTAGTTGAATCATTTACAATATCTCTATAAGAAGAACCTTAATTATTACTTTTTACAAATTCAATTCAATATTATTGTTATAATTATAGAAAATATTATTATTGAATTATTATTTTATTATTGAAAATCCAGATTGGCAAATTAGAACAGAAAAAAAAAAAGAATCGTTTATGTTTTAAAACACTAGATAACCAAAAAAAAGGATAAGTAACGGTTAAGATGATTGTCGGAACGAGACAGAACGCAATACACAGTTGGCGGTGACTAAGACACGGTGTCAAGGGCGGGGAGATACCCGATGACAACCGGTTGTCATATTGATGCGTGGATGGCTGATATCGAGAGACACGAGTGAGCAACTTCCCCGGCTCACTACTCTTATAACTTCTGTATAATTTAGGCGTCGTTTGAATATTAATATTTGTAATAATTCTGTGGGTACACAGTCGGTGAAAAGCTACATCAACTCTTATTGCTTTAATTACTAGTTTTATGGTCTATAGGTATAAAACATGAATAAATACTAATTTTAGTAATTAAATTTAGTATGAAATTTATACTTGATAATTTTATACTTTAATTTTATAGAGAATTTAAAACAAATTATAAAGTTCTTGCATACAGAAGGATTCTTTTAACATAATCCATTCGATTTCTCTTAAAATAATAATTATATTAAGAAAATTCTTCATGATATATTTTATTTTAATTTTTACTGATAAATTATAAAGTAGTGAATATTTCGTTATCACTATGATAAACGTATACCAAAATGATATTAATGTAATAACGGATTTATTAAAAAATCATAAAGAAAAGAAAAGAAAGTCAACTTTCTTAATTAGATTTTCCGACCTTCGTGAGTTAATTATTATTTCAGTTATGAAATTGAAATTATAGTTTATTATAAGCCATTGGACAGTTCATTATTTTTAATATACTAAATTCATTGACAAGCAAAAAAGGCAGTTTACATATAAAAGAAAACTCACCAGGAAAATCATTTTTAAACTTATATTATACAGCACAAGTTTTAGTTTAACATATTTATAAAAGACGCAATATTTCCGGAAAAAAAAGGAAAATACATAAGATATAAAGTATTTAATTAGATTAAAATATTATTATTTTCATATGTTTATTTTTTAAAAAGTTATTTAAGAAAAATATATAAAAAAATATATATATAAAGAGATTTAAGAAAAAAAATTTTAATAATGAGAAATTTACCAATTTTCAAAATGATACTTTTTAGGTTATTTTGGAGGAGAACGAGGGAACAATTTTCAAATTTTATGGGTAATGTTTCTTAACGTTACTTTTATTAATGTATCATTGAGAATAATATACTATATAATAAAATAAGAGCTGAGAAAGAGTATATGTTTATGACTGTCACAAAGCTTTGATGCGAATCTGAGAAGGTATTTATATTACTATTATGTGTTTTTTTTTTTTTTTTGTGTCTGTTACCACTTTTTCTCAGCTCTAGTAGTTTTTCTCACAGAACCTATTTCTTTCAACGATACGTCAAGAGATCACAAATCGTCTATACTCAAATAAATTACCCTTAAAAATTGAACAAATTTCCCTCGTTCCCTGTAAATGGGGAAAATCTCAAAAAAAATTACAAATTTAAAAATCGCTAATTTTCGAAATTTTTAAAAATTTTTTTACTTAAAAATGCTATAACTTTTTCAAACATGAACAAATCAATATATTTTTTTTATAGATGTTTGATATCTTTACCTATCATTTAGTATATTTTTTTTTATAAATTTGATCCTTTACCTGCCCATAGAGGAGAATTTAAAATGACAACTTTTTTACAAAAAATTAACAATTTCAAATTAACTTTTGAAAGTTGTGACATTCACCGACTTCTAACCGTAAGGCTTTCACCGATGAAGCACATAAACCCAAACGAAGTTGGATCCACCACTAGCCGAGGCTTTACCAGACCGGAGCATAGTGGAATTTTAAATATAACTGACACATTTGTTGTTTTAATTTACTAAGTTTTTACCTTAAATCTAGGGGAAAAGGAATTAAAAACTGGTAGACGAGTAGTATAGGCGATGATGTTCTATTTTATATAATGAGTTTAAATAAAATAATGATGCCCGAAGTACAATAAAATAATGTCAGTTACAAATGTTCAAAATAAAATAAAATTACAAATTCTTTTACATAACATATTTCAAGTCATAGTTAAAATTATTACAAAATATTAAATGAGCTAAAGGACAAATAAAATAAAAGGGACATGAGGGAGAAAATAATCTCTGACACTGCTGCATTGACTGTTCGATTTGACCAAGGGCTAGGAGCGTACTTTCCAATATTGAATAAAATAAAATGGTTATCATTGCAATAATGCTCAAACGAAGAACTTGACATCGGTCAATATAGATCTAGGCCTTTTATACCGAGCCTTGAGACTGCTAAATACGTCTAAATTGGTCCAACACATGTGAGGTTTTATTACACTCAACATGACCCAAAATAATTACCGGATGGACGAAAATGATATTTTAAACTAATTTACCAATAGTCAATGAGCAAATGTGCCAAGAAATCAGATAGAATAATCATATTAAAATATTTAAAATATATTGATGTCATTTTGAAAGAAACCTCGTGACAATGCACGAATAGAAGAAACAATGAAATGGTCGAAAATAAAGAAAAACGGGAATGCTGTACAAAGTTACCAAATTATATTATCATGATGCCCAGGCCGTAGCCAACAAATAAATCTTCACCCATGGCTCGATCGCCATGGCCAAAAGTAAAAGTTAGGCAGCCATGAGATGTTCAATATACGCAAAAAATAAGTAGATGGCTGGAGACAAATTCGACCACCGGCCAAAACACATTTGAACAAAACCACTTGACAGCGACGACACACATTTTACGTCACATAGTGTTCCGGAGAGTCTGAAACTTTTATATATATCTTAAATTAAAGCTAATGTAATATACATTATAGAAAAAAAAATTTTGGACTTCATTTTATTTTCATGGTATAAACAGACATCAAAGTTAATAAAACAAATACGATTTTAGTAAAAAAAATTCTTTTTTATATTTTTAACTTTATAATGCTATAACATTTTGAGAGATGTATAGATCAATATAATTATTTTTTTTATGGATGCACGATGTCATTAACTATCATTTGGTATACATTTTTTATAAATCTTATCCTTTAACTGCTTACTGGGGGGGATTCAAAATAACAATTTTTTCACAAAAAATTTACTTTTTCAACTTAATTTTTAAAAGTGTTCCAGGAAGTCTAACACTTTTATATATATCTTAAATTAAAGCTAATGTAATGTACTTTATTAAATAAAAATAAAATTTCGGACTTTATTTTGTTTTCATGGTAAAAATGGCTACCGAATACTATTTTTGTGTGAAAATTCTCGTTTTTATTTTTTACGTTTATAACTTATTGAATAGTGTATGGTTCAACACAATTTTTTTATGAAAAATAATATTTTTTAATAATCCCTTTTTCATTCAGGATATTAATAAGGAAATAGCAGATCATGTAGCTTTTGGAATAATCCACCAATGTTTTAAAAGTAAGCACTATCTAAAGATTTGCATCGAAGCGGTTTTTTTATAGTGATTTTAATCACTGTCAGATATCATTATACTTGATCCAACTATACCACGTCACCACTGTGCCGCGACCCCTGTTCTAGGTTTTTATTTAATTATACTGCTTGCATAAAAATTATAAAGATGGAAGAAAAAAATTTAACAAGGAAAAATATTGTTTACAATTTAAACATAAAGGAATTTATTTTTAAATTCCTTTGATTACTTTAAATATATGTTTAATATTGTTACGAAAACAATAATTAAAACAAAAATTTAACAAACTTCAAAATGCTGTATAAACTTAACTACTAAATTAAAATAAGAGTTGTCGTACGTCGGTAGTGCCCCAACGTAGACACAAAAGTTTAACACAAATTTATTAATGTTTTTAAATAT